CACACACATTGTTGGCATAAATTGGTGCCCAGTATTGTGGCTGACTTCTGGCAGAAAGTTTGGTCCTAAATCCAAAATTCGTTGGTGGACTTATAGCAATCCATTGCGACATAATCTTGGATGAAGTTATGTTTTGATCAAATTATGATTTTCTGACTGTAGTATATATAAATTACAAATAGCTAATCTGAGCTATTCATGGTCGGATAGGTTTCTATCAATTATTATTTTCTTCTCCGTCATAAAAATATTTCTCTTCTCAGTTATGTTGAGGTGAATGTAGCTGATGGTCACACTTTATCAATATAGGCGTATCAAGCAGATTGTGAAGAAAATGTACCTGAAGATGGTTCCTCAATATGAGAATCCGATTAACATTGTCTTCAAGAATTAAGGCAAATTGTTTGTATGTCGTTAATCCTCTCCTGTGAAGATTCAGAATCATAAAAGATAGTATTCAGGTATGTGTACGTCCGCTCGAACGCAATCACATTCCGGAACAGTGACTTACTGGAGTCGTTGAGCTCTAGCTGTGGGATCTCCAGCAGCTCAAGTCTAGGAAGCTCGTCACCATCTTCCTTAAATTTCACTGACCGATGTTCTAGCTATTTTGTAGGTACAGATGGACAGGCTTCATGTTCAGGAATTTGACACACACGGTGGAGATTTAATGGACTAACTACCTTTTTTTAGGTACCATCATGGTTAATTACCGACACGTGTAGTTATTGGCTGCATTCTATTAGACATACAGAGAGCCACACTGACAAATTTCTATTTAGAGGAAAAAGTGGGCACAAGTAGACTGGAAAAACACAAAACAGCGGGAGATGTCATGTTCAGCAGCGACAACACCATTGCTCTTCATGTTTTAAGTTAAACCTGTATTACTTCAGAATGATTAGTCAAAGATCGGTGATTGTTAGAGGCCTGAAGTTAATGTGAGAGGAAGGAGCATGAGTGGTCTTTTCAATACAGTATTTTTTCCTTACTGGCATAGGTTGTCAAGGATTGTTCTATCCGTCTCAGAGAAATGTGTTCAAAGTGAATTCTTTTCAGGACTGAGACTTTTTTTACAGTAATAACTTACATAAGCCCTTCGGTTGATCGGTTCAATGGCTGCAATCTAGAAGCTTTATGAGATTTCCCAAGTATCATTTTCTGAAAAAAGGTCATGCTGTATAAGGTAAGAACAACATAGAGAATTGATAGTAACCAAACTAATTGCCTTGCTATTGATTACAACATACTCCCTCCGTCCTGTATTATATTATAGTTATGGGATGTGTTTCTATGCTACTTGGAGAAAAACACAAACTGATGATACCGAGTGCCTTGCTACTAATTAGATTATACTTTCGTTATTGAATGTGTTCCTGCGCCATCCTGAATAAATAGAAACTTCAGATACAATGACCTGGGTACGTGAGCCACATCGTTCTCTTTTGAATCTCCCATTTAGATATAGTCCGCAAGATAAAAACTTTAGACACATTTTTTTTCTATAGCAACGCAAACGCAATGACGGTGCCATTGGCCGGCCGCCGGCCTCGACTAACACAACAAGGGAGGATGCCCGGTGCCATTGGCCGGCCGCCGGCCTCGACTAACACAACAAGGGAGGATGCCCTAGATCAAATGCTCATGCATATGGGCCTTGGCAAGGATGTTAGGCAGATGTGTAGTAGGAGGCCATGGTCGCATTAGGTCTATTCGATTCCGACGACCTTCTCGAGACAGACTGTCATGCCCTATCATCGTGGTGACAGTCAGGCTTATTTTTTTTTCGGGAACAGTCAGGCTTCATTGTGGGGCTAGGATGGATCCCTGGTAAAGAAAAAAAAGGTATCAATCAAGGGACGATTGTATTCCCGTTGCAACGCACGGGCCATTTTCCTAGTACCTAATGATGTGTAGCCCAATCCACTAAGCAGGCAACGTCTACTACTCCCGTTCATGATCGATCCAATCTAGCGGCCGCACAGTTGAGAGGGGTTGCGATGTACGGCCACCGGCCAGACAGCCAGAGGTCTAACAGATGGGCGTCACAGCGCCCAGGCAACAAGCAATCGAGCACTGCATTTTCAATTCCCTTGCAATTGCGAGTCTGCATGGCCTAGGTTATCTAATTTCTTTCCCCGAATTCCGGGTTCCCTAACTCATCGCCAATATTATTATTTTTTGAACATAACTCATCGCCAATATTTTTTTTCACTCAAATATTTGCAGCGGCCGGCCCTCTTCCTTTTGTAAAAGAAAGTAAAAGTGCCACACTCATCTGCTGGGTCACCTGCCATAGGTACGAGTATAAGCAAAAACCTTACAGAAAGTCATCAACGAAAAACTCATGGATGGTTGCATACTAATAGCTGTGCTATTCTTTGAGTTGGCCCGCCCAGTTTTTTCTTCGAAGCTCCGCCGATGCAAACAGGTGGAGACTGAACTGCAAACTCTGCTAACGAAACAGATGAACTCATCTCAAGTGGATCCGAGGAATGAAGAACCAATGCAACCAAGATCGTTAATTTGAAAGAGTAGATCTGCTTGGCAATTGCCATATGACCAGGAGGTAGCCAACGGCGCTATAGCATGGAGGCAGAGTTCCTGTCATCTGCTAGATGAGGCTATTGAGCTTACAATAATGGATAGTTTGTTTCCCCCTTGTGTGAACCGCTGCGAGGGCCTGCATTAGCTAGCTAGATTGGTATTGTAACAAGTCAATTTATGACCAGAGGATTTCATGCATCATGATTGTATCGGAAATATACGCACAGCAGTTGCGTTGTTAACTGTGGCATGCAAAACCTGCCCTCTTCTGTTAATGGCATAAAATCCACCAGTTGTAGAAGACTCTGCAGTCAAGATTATGGGGTCTGGACTGATTCTATATATGTAAATTCCCCTGGCAGTTTCCAGGTCATATACAAACAGCAGCCCAAGCTTCATAATTACATAGACATGGCCATACTTTTGAGAGATCTGTAATCAAAAGAAGATAAAACGAATTAGATCTATATATGGTACCAAATAGGGTATACATCCTATGGGACTTGAAACAATACCTGTATGGCTACAGGGAAATCATCCTGGAAATCTGGTGGGAAGAAGATGCCGTTTTTTTTATTCAAAAAGCCAGGTTTCCCTGCACAAAATGAACCAACAACAAAAGTAAGAACAGAGGAATGAATTTAAACAAAATAACAGGATAAAATGTACTACAAAACAATCTTTCAATGGCTACATCTAATGACAAGCGTATGGTGGATAAAGACATTCGGTTGTGTCTACAACATGATAGGTGCATCAAGTTTGCTCTACTAAGAATTTGAATGCAGAAATAAAAAATACTGAAAAGTAGAACTCCAGGGTTCTAAACACAGACCTGGCTGGGCGCCCAGTTCAATAATTTGCAACTTAGAAGTAATTGTTTCAGCATTAGATGCCTTTGAAGCAAAACAGATGAGGGTGGATGGGTTCACGTTGCCAGGAACCTGGTTAGGAAAATCAAGCACAGTTGTTAAACACTACTCCCTCCGTAAAGAAATATAAGAGCATTTTATATTTCTTTACGGAGGGAGTAGAAGATAAACAATTATATGAGCAGCACCAAATGACTGAACAGTACCTTGAATGTTGCAAAAGAAGCAGCATGGGCTTCAAGTGCTTCCGTTCGCTGCTGATCCACAGAAAAAAGTTGCATATTTCCCTTTACCAGCTGTGGCCTCTGATTTGTGAAAGGGAAAGCTCGTCAATATGAGAAGAACATATGACAGAGTACATATTTAATACGTGCCTACAAACAACTGCTCTGCTAGCTAGCTCACTGTGGTAGATTTGCTTTGAATTTTGGAAAATTATATGTTATATTCTTACACACCAAGAGGGGCCAAATCATGAGATAGAAATGTCAGGAAGAGAGGCAAAAGCAATTGTAGTCTTCATATTGTGTTCGATTGTGAACACATCGGTGCACTACGTTATGATGAAATATATTAAGAACGTCTGTTAAGCATACCTCTGGAGCACCAGGTGCATTTCCAATAAGCAAGAGCCACTTCTCCGATGGATCGCACCGATAGTTGATAATCTGATTATTAGCCAAATTAGCTGTCCTATCGAACATCTTAATTGGCTTAGAATCTCCTGCATTCCGACGAAAGCAAGCGATGACTATCTTGGTTTACGTCTTTTAAGCTAGAAGTACTTAAAAGTTAAAGCGACAATAGTTGTGATTTGTCAGAGGAGTCAGGAGTGACCTTCAATTGACCAGTGATACACTGATGCCTGTGTTACCAAACCCAACAACTTTGGGGTGATCCATTTCCAAAACACAACCTGCGATTGTAGAAGAGGAGACATGCATGCAATATGATGTATCGACTAAGATTACACATCGGCATTGAAAAATGAAAGGAGCAAGAAAACTTGAAAATAATTTGAAACATCTACCTGCTCAGGCATCTGGTGTGCCTTAATTTTAGTATGAGCTTCAATATTAAAGATTTGCAGGTGATCCTGCGTGGTTCCTGGAATTTTAGCTGCAAAAATAATTAAGTGGAATTTTATCATGTCTATTCGTGACAGAAAGTCTCTTCATGCACATTAGGAAGCGGCGGCAGCCAAAATCTTTGATAATCCAGGCCTTATTGGGCTCCGCTATTAGAAGGGAGGCCCTTCTCCAATCCTTTAAGCTCAACGAGAAGGTATGGAAGTTCTGTGTCTGGGGTAATTCCATTGTATATCCCGTTTAGGCCTAGAAATCAGTGTACGTAATTTGCATATTCCCCCAAGTCCATATCTTCTACATATTTCATTTTAGTTAACAATATGCATATTTGTCAGATCCTAAAGTGCACAACCAATAAGCAGCTATCAGACGCATTTAAAATGTACTGTATCAGTGGACATCAGCACAAGCTAGAAAGATCAAGCGTATTCATCACTGAGATATTGCGCTATTTGTCATTGTAAGTGTGGAAATAATCATCCATCGCCACGCTAAACTATCAGATCCCCAGCTGAAACTTGATCTCAGGTTTCTTGAAAATCAATAGCCACTGCCCGCTGCACCATTTGCACATTTGTACTAAGCAAGGAGCTACAGGTTTGAGATCACACTAGTAGAAAACAGGGCATCAGTCCCGGTTCTAGAGGGCCTTTAGTCCCGATGGACTAAACGATCGGGACTAAACGATCCTCACGATCACCGCCCAATTGCGACAGATCCCACGACGGGTTAGGGTGGTAGCAGCAGACGGCATCATGAAAATGAGATCGCAGAGGCAAGGGGTCCGCGAGATCTACCCTTGATCGCGAGGATCCTGGTGCTGGGGTTCATGAGTGCGGAGTCGACGGTGAGAGGCTTGCGGAGGGGCTGGCTGGGCATGGCCATGTCGATCATGACGAGGCTGTTGCCCTGGGGCGAGGTCTCCCGGACGCAGATGTACCTGTCCGACTCCATGGTGACGTGGGTGAAGGTGATGAACTGCGGCGCGATCCCGAGGCTCGTCAGCTGCAAGCAACAACGCCATGGACGACGAGTCAGTCGGCCGCAAGCTCCGGCCCCTGCCCGGCCCTGCCGGGAGATCCGACAGCATGATGTGCGCGCTCGTGTTACCGTTAGGGCCTCTCGCATGGCGATGGGGCCGTTGGCCGCAGCCATGGCGGCAGACGGCGGTGGCGAGGGGAGGGGGTCGGTCGTACGTGCTCTCGGCCGGCCGGTGCGAGAGAGCGATCGACAGATCCGATCTGATCTTTTTTTTAGGCAAATCGGATCTGATCTTTTTATCCGGGGACTTGAGGAGGAGGAACCAACGGGGTGGCCAACTTTCACTGGTGGAAAAAGGGCCTTTGGTTGCGGTTCGCAACTGCCATTAGTCGCGGTTGCGCAACCGCGACCGAACG